AAAAAAATACGTGTTCCTTATTTTTGTTTAGAAAATAACGTTCAAAAACTCATCAAAATCGAAAAGCAACATGGATTCCTTTGTAAGGAAAATGCCTCATTTGATCTGTGCTATATCTTTGTACTTAACGATATGTACTTATTTCAATATAAATTTATAATACATATCCAAGTTTGTAAATCGTACTCATTTTTACAAAACTGGATATACATTATAAATTTACACATCGTAATATTTTTGAGCGCTATCTAGTTCAGACTGAATAAAACATTTTCCATAAATTTTTATAGACAATGCACTCTTTTATACAAATTTTTATTTTCAGTATTTAAATAAAATACAATTCGATAATTCATTTTAAAACACATTTCATTTAAAAACTTACATGTTTATGCTTTTATCATAAAGATAACGACATGTATTATTCAAATGGTTATATTATTTCAATGACTTTACAATTTTAAAGCACGTTTTTGTCTCGATAGAAAATATATATCTCCATGTCGAAAAGCATGTGCCGCCACTTTGTTGAATTGTTATTGATAAAGCAAATATTGATAATGATAACATGAAATTCCAATATCTATCTCGATAATGAGTTAATCGCAAGACTAAATGAAATATCATAGTCGACAGATCGTGGCGTAATCGAATACGAGGCGTACGTGCTGCGCAACGCAAAGTTATATCACACGTCTAAATTAGAGCTAGCAGCGCAATCATTCATGCGTGTCAGTAATGCCGCGGAACGAAATTCCACCACGTTGCGTTCTGGTCAAGTAATTTAATAATAATTATTTCCTCACAGGAGACGGCCGCAAAACGTGGCCCATTGCCACTGTCGGCCGACTCATAAATCACCAGCTAACGCCTAACGCCTAACTTAGTCGCTGATCGTGATTTAATGCTAGTAAAATGCTAACAAGCGTATGAATGAGTCAATAAAAGACACTATTTATGAGGAAGTCTTAAAGTGATACTGGAGTGACGGCTGAACTTGATTGATGTCGATAGTACAGACTTTTTTTAACTCCAAATTTAAAATGTCGATAACAGTGACATCTTTAATTTATTTCTTACATTATCGTTCCATCTCACTCAAACGCATACATCTGTTCTTATTTAACATATTGCAACGCTATCTCTTGCAAAATCCACCTACTGGTGCTCTTGTAATTGTACTTCTGCAAGAGCACTTACTGCTAGACGCAATTACTGCTTTGTTTACCATTCCGAGTTTTCGCTAAGCATACATGTACACGTAATTTGCAGATCAATAAAAAACTTTTTTTAAGCTTTTAATTTTCAGTGAACTCAGTATTGTTCGTTCAGGTAATCCAACGGATGATGCACTGTCAGTTTTCCATACGAGCTATCAAACTTTTGCATTAAAGAAACATCTACGTCAGGTGACAGTTCTACGAGTTGACAAATAAGTAAGTTTTCAACTTTTTTCGATTTTCGTATAAAGTCCACTGCACCACCTCCCAATTTTGCGTCTACTTCAATCCTGTAAACGGATTTTTTATTCCATTCAGTTAATTATTTGGAGATTTTTATAGAACTGTAATATTTTGATAATTTGATCACTCCAGCATCTCCTTGAACGGGCCATTAGTCAACGTTATCCACAAGATAGCCTCTCTTTCTCTCTTTCGGTTGATGCTATTTAAGTAATATCTAGGAATAAATAAAAGGATACACAAAAAATCTGATAAAAAAAAGATACTTTTAGCAGAGATAGTAGAATTTGTGAATCGTGTTCTAACACAGACAAACCAAACGGAGATGATCAAATTCAGATGACGGTTTGTTGCCGTCGGCTATAACGAAAAAATCAGTGGATATTCACCGTCACAGTTTTTGGCCACGAGTTCACCGCAAAGCGCGCAGTACTCCTGGCCATGAGTGACGAGACAAAGAAGAATCTCCAGGGGAAACGGTATAAGTTCCAACTTGTGGTGAACGCGATTATATCGATCGTTATTGTATAGGTACAAAGGCTTCGGAGAGTAAGCAAGAGCGTGTGAGTGAGTGTGTAATATGTGTATTATCAAGGTACACCGGATGCGTTGATAAATCCGCTGAAGAAGAACGTAATAGAGAAGCGCGAATATTCTGCCGAGGACATGGAGATTTCTCTTAATTGAACTGCATGTAAATAACATAATATCGCGTGAACGAGTGTACCGCGTTAATTGGATAGGATAAATTTAATGTTTGCAGAGCTTCAATAATCGCTCTCGCGCGTACCGAGCGGACTTCAACTCGGTAGAAAGCGCGCCGTAATTTTACACCAGAGACCATTCTGATTTTCTTGGTTTTAATCGAAGACGAATAGTCTTAGTCATGGTCCTCGTTAATCGCTATTTCATACATACGTCAGGGCCCGCATTAGAGCAACCAATTTTGATACGTAATCTCGATAAGCTAGCGCGTATTATTAGACACCAGCATGCTCTCTCAGTCGGGGTAATAAGGCGTCGCTTGATTTTATCCAGCCTTTCTCCTTTATCGTACTATCTGGAGCATATTCCGCAGTCTATTTGCGGACGTAATAATCTAACGTGGTCGTCAACCCGTGAACCTCGCCCTCTCGCAAACGTGGAAACGAATCGCTCGGCGAGGTCTCTCTGCGTTATTCATTCGACGCTGGAGCAAAGACTCTCGCTCGACCGCGCCCGTAAATTATTTCCGGCCGAAACGAAGTAGTTGAAATGCATACAACTTGCATGAAATCCCATTTTTCCTATCAAATACGTGATCCGCGCGATTCCGCGGACTGCAAATAATTGCTTTCCAAATATCCCTTCGCGATAAGATACGCTGCGTGCGGCTGATATCATCTCAATTAGCACCCGTCGTGTCAAAAACGTCGGCGAAGCGGTCAAACACGCGAATTAAACTCAAGGGGAAACGATCGTTGATGAGATCTACGAAACGATACGCTACACACGTTGAGTATAAGATTGCCCACGTCTATCAGTCTGTAGGGCGTAGCTGACCCCTGTATATACCATATATACACCATATACAATAATACAGACGAGATAAAACGTATAAAAGTATATATACGCTAGTATGGCAGAATACGATGACTGCTTGGAGGAAGTATCAAGGGAATCTCTCGGAAACTTTGGAGCGGTCCGTGCGGAAGGCGTTGGGTCAACTGGCACGAATGCACTCTGGACTTTTGGGGTCGCCCCGGCGCATTTTCATTCGAAAACTCGAATTCTCAAAGTAGCAGCTACCGTAAGTGCTGTCAGAGTTTCGTGGCAATAAAGAGAACAGGCGATGAAAAGACGCGTCACGCGCAAAGGATGGAAAATAGAGCATATATGTGCTCGGAAAAGGCGCGCGGAATTGTCCAAAGCTTTCCACCTGCGTGCCGACGACGGATGTAAAGCACGATTGCCAGCACAGAAAGAATTATCGGTGTTATCGACGATCAGAGAAAATCCAACGTACTCGAATCCGATTTCTTTCTTTTTCCTTTTTATTTGCGTCTACTCTGCAGACGCAATAAAATGCTGGAATAGATTATTAGACAAGATAGAGATTGGTAATTTTCTCATACACGTGTACGGTACCTCGCGTCAAACAAATGACGAAAAGTAACCATACATCAACCATCCAATATTGTAGACAACTCTCGCCTTAAACGGCTGACACATAAATCTTCGCTTATCCTTTCAACCACGTGTCAGCGTAAGCGGCGCATTTTTCGCACGCGCATAAACCACTCTGGAATCGAGTGGCGGCAACAATGAGAGATACCAGAATATCGTACCTCCCTACCTCCCTCTTCGCCGCACGATATAAAAGCAGCCCCCGCGCGTCAGTGGCGATCCAGATCGTTAAAATCTCGTCTTCTCGACGAGACGAATGCGGTTCGCGGCGCGCCGGCGTCTCCGCGCCCGGGGATTATGGATGCGTTCCACTTCCGATAACGCGCGAAACGTGAAGGCGTTTATGCCCTCGCCCTTACGCCCGACTGCTCCCTTTTCCAGACCGATCCGCCCCCGCGCGCCACGTTTCGCGCCCGCACACCTCGTCGAAGTTGGCAACAGCATCTGGAGCGTTAAGGGTGGATGAGCGATGTGCCGGTGTCTTGCGGCGTGATGGATCGTCCAATACCAGCCAATATGCAGTATTGCACGTGGAGTGGCAAACTGGTATCCATGCATCAAATCGGCGGGCAGAGAGCGGCCGGGAAGAAGGAATGGTCAGGAGGGCGAGGAGAGAGGGTGGAAGTTTGGTGTGCTCTACACGACACGTTACCGCACACACTACCGTATGCTCGCTCGCTTCCGTCGTGGTCAGAGAACGGTTCTTGCCGATCCATCCTTAGTGGTACGACCATAAGGTGCATCTCCGATTGCATGGGATATATCTATGTACGACTATGTATCTACACATGTACGTGTACTTGAAAGTACATGCATATGTACATACAACATACATACACACATACACATATATATATATATATGTATACACATATACAATATACATGTACGTATACGCGAGATCCGAGATGTCCCGGTAAGAACGGCTAGGATGCCGGTACTGCGAGCTACGTGGTTGTGCCATGTGTTTGGAACGTCAGGCAACCAGACACGTTTCTCGAGACAATTTCTTGCCGTCTTATTTCATCCGGACGGATACGACCGTGCACCGAATCGTATTCACTTTTCTGTTTAACGGATTGTCCTAAAGGACCAGTTTGATAAACGAGCCGCAAGGAAGAAAGAGAAGACGGATCAAATCAAAACGTAACAATACATAAAATAGCAGTTTAGCTATTATTAAAAATACACGTTCAAGTGACAATTAATAAATAATTTCGAATAAATTCAATAACAATTCAATTTCTTGTTCGCGATACTTTCGGTCATCGACTTAAAGCTTTCTACCCAAAAATAACCAGGTCAAATCCTCTGTTTAATTCTCAGACAAATTCAATGAGGAGGACGATAGTGAGAGAAATATTGACTCACCGAAACGTCAAAGTGGTGAAAGGTCGATAGCTCTTGTGACTATTGATGCTCTCCATCGGCGTACCCCAGAAATCATCGTTGAGGACACTGCTCCACGACGCCTCGCCGATCACGTCCCTGTTTCTCACCACCGCCGGTATATCGTCGTGCACGAAGTCGCAGTCGAGCGCATTGAGATAACAGCCGACCGCGACAAGCGCGACCGCCGCATAGATGCACCATCCCGGTGGCTCGTTCGCCTCAGTCTCGTTGCATCCGCTACGGCCACCTTTCTTGACCGATGATGCCTGGCAGAAGCAAGTGGAACCGTTGTTCCGTCGCCTCATGTCGTTTGGCGCTGTTCGGTACCACGCACGAGATAAGTTCTCACGTTCGTTCGTACGTCCGCGAGCCCGAAACGCGAGCACTATCATGAAGTCGCGAGCCGTTTTTTCGGACACCGTTATCTCCTGCGCGATTGACCGCACTGCCCAGTATAATTGCACTGATCGCGATCGGAATCAGCTGACTCTCGCATTTCTAAGGCGAACGCTCAGGTGAGAGTTCACGTTCGGAAAGCGTCTGCTGCGTCCCTTCACCGTTTAAGGATCGCTACTAAGCACCGTTTCAATTGCAAACCTCGACATTTCACCCTTGATGTTTGTTTCATCAATAGCTTTACAAGCGGAGAAATCGTAAAGGCCGATTGCTTGTATATACCATTTGGCTTTTCGGTTCCCGGTCGAGTCAAAGGGACATGATTCTTGCGTAACGTTGGTGGCAAAGCGACGCGAAATGTCGCGGTGCTAGCCGGTACCTCGCGTTGATCTCTCCCATTTAGGCCGACGACGCTACCTCGACGAGCATTCGTTTGTCCCACGGTGAGCTTGATAAATGGCTGCAGGAGTTCATTATTTATCGGCCCGACTCGAGCGTGTTCTAGATGAAGGGTGGTAGCAGATTCCGCGCGTAAACCGCTCACGGTTCGGATAATAGCCCTCGCGTGGACTTTCCTCGGGAATTGCCCCCGTGGGGGATCCAGGTAGATCCTTTTTACGTAACCGCGTAACAACGTAACAGCTCGTTACCGTGCTAGCGGTGGGTATTGGATCGATCCGCTTTCCAGCCGCAAATCACTGATCCGCGCTGATCATTACGGATTCTCCCGGCAGAGTAAAACGATATGTCTATAGCACACTTACCGCTCTCGGACGTAAGTGACATTAACGCTACGGTTATATAAATTGCGACTTCGTTCCGGAGCAGGTCACGCATTTGATGCTCATTATCTACCTACTCTACAAACGGATTTTCAATTACGTTGACACGGAACATAACGTTGGGCATTTCTTCCGGCGGTCGATATTTCGTGAGCCCTAACAGTTGGCATAAAAACGTTTGCGTAACGTCACGGCAAACACAATTAATATAATTGCTTGATAAAAGATAACAATTTATTTTGGTCGTCCCACGTTAATGCGTTTCAAGAGCGAGAACTCGTACGGTCAGTGATGAGTCTCCATTTTTTTTTTTTGCTACATCCGGAAAATTTTGCAGAATTATGGAGAACAGGGTGCAACGAGAAGACGGCTGTGTGACCCAGATACTCGTAGCCAGGGCTCCTCCGTCGCCACAATTTTACTGTGCATATAGATCTATACAAACGGCTCGTATCTCGCCGAGGGCACGGCTTGAAATCCTCTGCGACAGCACCTTCACCTCCCGTCGACCTCCTGCTTCTCTCGCTACCACTTTCCTATCTCCTTCCCTTGGCGCCACTGCCACTTGGTCGCTTCTTCTTGTTCTCTGTCCTCCTTCGGCTTTACTTCCTGCGTCGTCGAATTCAATCGTTGAACAAGTGTCACGACGATTTTTTCTCCGATTCCATCGGGCATGCGAGAACTAGGGACGAACTTCTGACGCCTCGACGATCTCACTAGTATGGTTCCCACTACTTGCCTTCAACGAGATGTCACTCGAGACAAAAGTCGGGCGTACTCGACGTTCGAGCAGTAACTAGTAAATGTTCTTCAATGTTCGTCTTGTTCATTCGCGCCAAATCGATCGAGTGACTTCGGACAAAGGAATGAGAAATTTTGCAAGGTAGAAAATTATGGACGATTTTTAATTAGAAGTATTTTTAATAGCTCCGATCCTTCATTTGAACCTATCGAAATATTGTACTTGAAAAATTTAATACTTTAGTACCGGTTATTTTTCTTCCGATTGCTTTTTTCGATACTTTTCTGACTTTTAGTTAAAAACCCGCGGTAGCATACAATTCGCATTAAAGATGCTTGAATGTGATGGCAAGGGTAAAAATATAATTTCCTCCACTGATCGGTGATATCATAGGAGGTGGTAGCTACCGCGTTTCTTTGCTTATTCGGGCGGGATAAACGTAAATACTTCTCGGAAGCCTATAATCTGATATCGGACACCTTGCCGATTGGCACGAGGTGTAAATCGGTATGCACCGCACATCGGAACGTCACAGATCCCGGTAACGACATCGGCGTCGAGCTCGAGCGAGTTGCCGCGACGACGAAAAGCGCGAGACTAAGGGATGACGGCATCCGCCCGGTTATATACCCGACGCACTCTGACCCGCAAGCCGCGCCCGCGCACGAGCCACCCCCGGGGTTTCCCTCCTGCCTGCATCCTCGCGCGCCTTTCCTTTCTTCTTCTTTCCCATTTGCCAGCACCTGCTCAACCTTGGATTCCACTGACGTCATGTTGTTTACCCATAGTTTACCTGCCAAAACAGGTGTCCCCTGAAAAACATATGTGAAGCTCAAATAAGTTTCAATTATTAAAGTTGGACACAAGCGTGACAATGTAATGATATTTTAACGCTTATAAACTCTTATAAACGGCATTAAAATATATGAATATTTTACTTATCATTTATAATAATTATTATTTATATACACATAATAAATTGTAACAATAATTGCTAATTTTATTAGAGAAATATCATATTATTTTATTCGACGATTCTAATTGTTCCATTTTACATTTGTACTTCCAGTACTTATAGCTCATTTTAATTAAATTGAAATCGTTAACGAGATTTCTACGTTACTCGTAATGTAGTTAAGAGCGTTTGTATCGAATCTTACGAACAGGATAACAAAGACAGCACTGAGCAATTATTTATTGCCTGTATTTCTCTCTCAGGGATATCTCGCATCTAACAATACAACGGATCACGGCTCGCGAATCAGTGTAATGACGATATGAGCTCGTTAACGACGATGATGATACAGTAACGAGCTCGGAGAAGTGATGCTGCATTGTATGATTGAATTTGGCTATTGCCATCACAACTACGAATATGTATCAAATTGAAATTAAATCGTATCAAGACATTATCATGTAATTTTAATTATTGTTTGAAATCATTATCTGCACAAGTAAAACAAAATGTAAACATAAATTATTAAATACTCTGTATATGATAATTTATGCATACGCTTAAAAATTATCATTACTGTTATTATTATTGTTGTTGTTGTTATTGTTATTATTATTATTATCATCATTATTATTATTACTATTAGCGTACAACGAGAATACCTACATAGAAACTTGTAAGTGAACAAGTATAGTTTCCATTTATAGAGAAGTTTATATTAAAAAAGTATGAAATTAGTTTTCAAATTTTGGAAATAATAATAACACGCCGGAAAAGATGAAAATTTTGTAAGATTAATATGGAGACAGATTAAATCTTACTTTGTTAGTTTCCATTTCTATTTTGTCTTTAGTAAGATTCTGACGGAGTTAAATTATCTTGAGACTATCAACTATAATAGGTATATCAACATAAAATGGCAAAGATAGATTTGAATTTTTCATGTCACTAATAAGCAAGTTTCACAGAAAGTTATAATTGAGCGAAATACCGGCATTCTTCTACCAAGGAACTTAATATTAGCGACATAGCTGTCGCTCAAGTAATTCGCATAATGTACCCGGGGTTCGCAATTAATGATCATTTAGTTCGATGGCGCTGAGTGGCCGTCAGTGCCACGATTCGCAGGCGAGCGCGGAACTTTGGCCCGCCAGCGCGTTAAACTTCCGTATGAATCTACTTTCAAACTACACAAGAATTTTTAATTACGGCCCTATAGAACGAAAAATGCCATTTACGTGTCACGTTAATAGTTCTTCGCATTCGAAGCGTTGGAGGAATGTGGAGGGCCAGTCCCACGTGACTTTTAACGAATTTTTATTACCGCAAAAGAGGACAATGACGATTCACGATAATTACTTTATTCGCACTTACAGTCTTTATTCTCCTCGGCTTCGAATGTTTGTGATAATCTTGTTCCCCACAAATGCTACACTGTTAATTTGAGTTATTTTTAAAGGTCACCACTATTCCTATTCAATATGTCGTTAACAATTAGAAAATATAACTTTATCTCAAATTTAGTGTGACATTTACTAAATGCAAACGTTAATATAGATATTGTTTACTTTGAAATTAATCACAGAAATAAATGAATTTATATTTTGATATGTATAATACGGAAGTTAAAAATAACAAAATATTACTTTTATCAAGAGATTGGATTACTATTATTTAACTAAAAAAACTGGGTTATCACTAGGGATGCGCAATCTCCAGATTGATTCGCTAAAAATCGATTTTTACAAAAAGACCGCTTCAAAATAGTCCTCTTTGTTAAAAAAAAGAAGCAATTTTTTTAATAAAAAGATGGATTTAAATAGTCTCTTTTTTAGTTAGAAACATCACAAAATAGATCGGTTTAAAATCGTTATTGTCGCTTGAGAAAATCGATCTTTTTATTAAGACACACCTATTTACCACTCCTCTGTTGATATCTAACAACGTATTTTCGAGTTTTAAGCTACTCATTTTTCCCTAGATTTGACTGAGAATATAACATTCTCATTAGTTGATCTTTACAGATTACTTAATACTTATCATGCAAGCTCGAAGATTGTGTAAAGAATCGATCTGACAGCTCCAGCAGCTGCGTGATTTCGCTGCTGGAGCTGTCTCCATTTCTAAGCTATTTCTTTGTGGACTTCCCGTTGAAGTATAAATTGGTTTTATGCTCTGTCAAGGAAGTTTCTAACTGGAAACTTATATAGTCGCGGAACAAACGTCTGTAGACGGCACTGAAATATAGTGTTCGTAGACGCTGGTTGCGCCTGAATATTCAGCAACTTCGCCCACTCGCTCGCTGTCTATGTCTCACGCGCGCTGCCTACTTCGTTACACCCGGTTAACGCTTGCCATCGTCTGACCGTATTTAATAATGCACCTAACCGACGACGCGGCGCCGCCGACGCCCCAGGAGAGCAAGGTCTGCCAACGACCGTGAAAAGGTGTCGGTGTCCTGTAAGTAAGGGTGCAGCCACAATACGTGCGCGACTCTCTCTCTCTCTCTCTCTTCGTGGACTATAACCCGAGGGCAAGGAGGGAAAAAGCACACGAAACGACTTCACCTGAAATAAAGATAAAGGCAGTGCCTCTCGGTCCGCGTTCGCTTTGCTCTCCTCGTGCGTTTTCATTTATTAAAACGCAGTGGCGTATCGAGCAATTGTCTGCCTTCTCTCTTTTCCTCTCCGCCGTGCCGGAGGTACAAAAATCAACCAATAGCGAGCGACGATCGAACGCTTTCGTATTCTCGCACGTGCAGTGTAGTCTCAACGAAAATAGCTCAGACACAATCTGATTGTCTCTCTCTGCCGGTTTCTTATTTATAATTTTATTGCTCCTAGCGTCTTGTTAGCTCATTATGAACGTATATATACGTCTCGCTATTTGCCTACTTTATTGTCGAATCGTGAAATCGCTTTAGTTATCTTCATCTCGTGAAATATTTCGACTCTGCTGGCGCGAGATAACATCTTGAGCTCGAAAGCGCAATGTTGTTGCGAGAAATCACATGTTGGTCGCGCGGATACCTCGCTATACCCTCGCCGTATCGATCGGCGGGAAATCTTAAACGTGGACCGACGCGAGAAATAATGCCTATAATTCGTACGTAAATGCGAGACACGCGAACACGAGACACGAAGGAGCATGCGAATGATAATTCGCGTTGAACTCGAGTACGGGCGATTCCATTGCGATTGCAAATAGTGTCGTCCGCAACCGCGGCGTTGATACATTAACGAAAATTGACGGCTGGTCACTTGCAACAGAAGCGACGTCCCAACAGGATCGCGGGAGGTACGAAACCTGTTAACGCCGCTAATGAACTCGGACGGCGCAGCTTCATCAAAACAATTCTCGCCACGCGGACGGACACCCACGAGATTTCGCGCGACAGAGAGACCGACAGTTTCGGCCGCCACAATAGGAACTCCGCGGACAATCAAAGGTGGTGGACATTCGGTCGGTTGGTCGGAGGATGGCGTGCACGAAACGCCGCCGGGGAGGAATGTATTTAATTAATGCACTCGAGCAA